CTGACATGGTTTCTACAGGTGGAGAGTACGGGACGGTACTCCCAGTCGGCGGCTAGTTCCGAAACACGAAGTTCAAGGTTGCTGGGTGGTCGAACCAGAAGGCGTAAGTGGCGGAAGAGTAAAATTGACAAAGTAATAACTACGTACAAACATGTATGTATACGTGATCGGTAGCCGAAGGGGAAAGATAGGAAACAAGGGGGGAGAGTGGTGATGAGTGGTATCCGATGCGATGAGCGTCATAGTAAAATAGCTACCGTGATTAGTAGAGAAATAGGTAAGACAGTGAAGTGTGGTTGGAAAAGGAAATGACAGTAATGAGAAAGATCCGGTGCGGGAGCGCACCATCACATCCACCCTCCAGGCTGCCCACGAGGCAGGCTAAGAGTTCATATTCAGATCTCCACTATTTGCGCTTCTTCTGGCCACTTTGGCAGCAGGTTCGAGAGCCTTGCGCTTCTTCGCACATTTATCCATCGCCTCCTTTGATTCAATGTCGGGGGAAGAGTCTGAGGCACCACCCTTCTCCTGACAAAGACGGTAGCACTTCAATTTGCAGCGGCACTCCTACTCGATCAGGCGCTGAGCATTGTCGAAGTAATCCTGTGTCACTGCAACCTGATTGGCCTCCAACATAGGACACTCAATGGTCTCATTGTTGCGGACACAGAAGGCCTCAGCATTGGCAGGAGTGGCGCCTTCCTTCCAGACGACTTTCCTGTTGTCAAGGTAGCCTCAGAAGTATCCCGAGTTGTCGTACTTATTGACCTCCTGCACGAACATTTGGTAGAACGCCGGCATCAACTCAGGAAGACCATCTCCCGAGTAGAGCACCTTGTTGTAGTTGATATAGTGCTGAAAAGTGCGAGCCTCGAAAAAGATGGATTCCATGTCAGGGATGTCAAAGCAGAAGTAACGATTATTGATACACTTCAAGCCGGAATGAGCCGAGTTATATGTAGTGATGTGCCGGGTCGGGCTTGAAGCCCAAGCCCAGGCTTGGGTCGGGCCTCAGATTCTGCCTGACCCGCAACCGGGGCTCAGGCCCGGGCTTCAGCCAAAAATTTTGGCGTGGCTCATGCCAGTGAGGGCCAAACACAATTTTTTTCTTTCAAGTTGTTTCCCCATGCCACCCATCATGCCGTGTTCAAATCATGATCCGATCTGTGGATGCTGTTTGGTTCACTTTGACTTCCACGACGATGCATAATCTAACCGTGGCAAAATCATTCTGATTCCACACCACCATCATGGGTCATCTCATTCGCACCCAGAACCCCATCCAGGCAAGCGAGCAAACTCTCTTTGCTTTTACTTCGCTCATTTTGTTCAGGTCCCTGTCCAATCTGTCACTGCCAATCATGCTGCTGGTGGCAGTCAAGCACATAAACGAACTTTTCAAGTGGGGTCGGAATGTTCCGTAATACCCCCTCTTACTCATTGCCTTATATAGGCAGGCCTGGGCCTGAGCCCAAGCCCAACCCGACCCGGGCCCGACCCCCCAGGTCAGGTCAGGCCCAGGATTTTGTCGAGCCCAAGCCCTCCCTGACCCGACCCAAGCCCGGGCTTTCAAGCCCGACCCGACACTGCGGGCAAGTCCCACGGCCGCGGGTTCATGGCGTGTGACCGACACTTGCCATGGCGTTGGACATACGATCAAAAATCGGGCCGACGTGCCAGAAAATCCCACGATGTCGGATTTTGCCGACGGTCGAATTGCATCCAATCCTGCTCTCTACCATTGTCAGCACCAGTGGTTCAACTTGGGGTCCCGAGGTACATACATAAGTACTTCTGATCTGGATACAAATTAATGATATAATCTAGCCTGCTCCGCAAAGACTGTCATTCAATGTTCAATTCCATTCAAGCACTCGCACAAAACTCCTGGCAGAAAACTCCAACCAATCAACGAGGTGCATCAACTCAGCATTCATAGCTTACTTATGGTTGACTTTTATAGGGATTGTGTATAGCGCAGCGCATGTGTTCATTTATTTGTGCTATTTGGGCAGCAACTCCTTGAATCACAGATTCACTAGGTCCATCAAGGATCAAATTCATTACATCTTCGATCGTTGATTTATTTTTTTTCAAACAGATACAAGACCCGAAAGTACATGAGAGGCACTTTGCATCGCGATTGACGTATGTCCTCAGTTCAGAGTTTATTTTAAATTCTGAGTTACTGACTTGGTTATATGAGGCTCCGGGAAGGTTTACAGCTGTTTTCGAAAACCTTGGGACAACCTGATTTTTTTTTGTGCCCACAAAATTTTGATGCAGGCTTAAGTATTACCAGTTTGGGATGGCCAGCCGAGATTCCTGTCGCTTCCGTGTAATCTGTTTGCTCCCAGATATTGTTTCATGGGTGAGGTCTCACCTCGTGGTACCCAGCTGTGTCTGAGAGTCTTGTGAACCTCACATGCCCTGGGAACATATCAGGCAAAGTTGACCTCGCTTGCTCTTGTTGTTCTGCTTATCCCTTTCTCCTCCTTCTTGCCCTCCACCCATCCATTAAAAAAATCATAGGCAAACTATCACACTGCCCTATGTCCTCGAGCCGCCCTGCATATCCAGTTCCATCTACCTCCCTCTCGTCTTGTCCTTCGTGTTTAAATGATGAACCCCCAAGCAGCAGGATGTCCAAGCACTCAAGTTTGTCTTTCTCCATCTTCAAATCCTGCTCAGTGTCGCGATCTACCCGTACGGCATCTCCGAGGCGAGGCGACAGTGTCCAGTTTGACCGCGACATGATTCAACTGCCGGTGTCCTTCTCGGCACAGCACGTTCTCGACTTGGGCTTGACCAGAGTATCAGTCACAATGCCGTCCGGGCATGTGTGCTCGCTGTAAGAATGAGACAAGTGCGCGAGAGCTAGATAATGTATAACTCAGTCTTCGCGCACGCAAGTGGAACGAAGTCTATATATTCACCTAGATAATGTATAACTAGGTACGAGTCAATAAAGAGAAAGTACGAAATACGAGAGTCGGTCACCTCAGTCTTCGCGCACGCAAGTGGAACGAAGTCTGAGGAGGGGCGACTCGAGGTGCACTATTTAATACAACTACGAGTGTCCGTGTCCGAGTAGTTAGACTAACTAAAAGGAAAGATACGAAGAATACAATAAATCGGCGTAAGTACTTGCCAGTCCATAATTGTGGCGATTCATCCATTATTGTGGCGGCCAAGGGCGCTGCCTTGGCACGGCGAGGCAAGCCCGCCATCCGCCAACACTTGCCACTTTCTCCATGTTGCAACTTGAAGAGCAGCACACCATCTCAGCCACACTCCCGCACCAGCAAACTCCGCTCGGCCTCCCGCAAGGCGTGAATTTCCGGGGCCCTTCTCGCCCCGGCATGCTTCTCGGACTTGTGCCGATGGCCACGGCAGGGTTCGTGGGCGTGATATTTCGAACCTTCTTTCATTATACGCCCCATTTTATTATATAGATAGAATTGATGAAAGAACAAAGGGAAATTGATCGTATGTGCAACGCCGTGCCAACGCCATGGCAAGTGTCACTCCCACGCCAGGCAAATGCCATGAACCCACGGTCATGGCACTTGCCCGCAATCTACTTATACAAAAGAGGTCCGTCACGTGTAGGCGTTAGCGAGCCAATCGAAATGTAAAGACAACTGTCAAAGTAAACGGCAATCAGGTGGCAGTACCGGCAGCTTCCGGGGTTCGTTCGTTGCTTTCTTTTGGCCGTCAATGTTTTCCGAGAAGTTTGTACTGGTTACTCAAGTCAAAGGTATAATAGTACTTTGAAGGAAGGGAGTTCAAGTTGGTCATGCATGCGATGACATGTATATTCTTGAGATAAGATTATGAACAGAGTATCCAACTGTCAACGACTTGAAGGGTGCATATAATAAATTATAAGTCTCCAGTTCCAGTTCTCATTATTATAGGGAAACCTAGAATGAAATTGATACAGTAGTGTAAGCTGGACATGGGGGACACGAGGAACCAACCAAGGGTTGGTGACGAGTGTCCCCACTGATGACTGAAGTGAACATGAGTTTGGTCTTAGATTTCATGAGTATGTATGTTATTGATAGCTGGCTGTCCGTAGCGTAGCACGGGTTCATGCTAGTGTTAATAGAACGGAGGACCCGGAATTCCGGTGCCAGTGGCTCAACTGCAACTTAAATTTCATTTTGACTCGAGAATGCCTCCATTTCGCCCGGTTCGTTCGTATTCAACTTGTTGAAAAAGACGAAAAGGGTGTCCCCTTTGTCTTGAAAAAATTCACTGACGAAAAATTCAGGGGTCTCTATACAGAAGGAAAACAATACACTATGGAGTCACTCATTGACCTGGCCCCGGTTCAAATGGGGGATTTCCTCGAAAGTTGCTTTGAATTACTAGTAACTCTGGAGGATGTGTTGCAGTACACCACCAGGCCTTGCCAGGAACTGACAACTTTGTTATAGGTAGGTTGAATTATCATTTCCGAATGATGATTGAAGAGAGATGGGGGAAAAATTTATGTGGACATTTCAGATTCAGTGGCCTGGCCCCGGGTCGAATGGGGTGCTTCTTCGAGAACTGTTCAGACTGTGCGAACCCTTGAGGATGTGTTGCAGTACATCACCAGGCCGTGCCAGAAACTGACAACTCTGCTATGGGTAGGTACACTACTACTAATCCTGCGTGCTGTGCCCGTGCCCGTCCCGTATCGGAGTTTCCACAGTTGTCGACGGGACCGTGGAATGCCGGCTATGACGCCCGTCGAACGATGGTCGATTGTGTTTTTCCCGCCCTGATAAGTCCATTTCTGTGCTCACAGCGGCCCCTCGCAGGTCTTTATCCCTGGTTTCCAAATCCAATTTATATATTTCCAGTAACAATATTTCCAGTAACGATAAATGGTACCATTCGGTCCTTCCTTCATTGACATTAAACTATGTAACACGAGTATCCTAAAAAAAAGGAGTGCACATGTACTCAAAAATAAAATAAAAAATTGAGCAAATACTGGCTTGATATGGCCTGGCCCCGGGTCGAACGGGGTACTTCCTTGGATACAAATTCTACTTCCTTAATTTAAGGGGATGTGTTGCAGATACACCACCAGGCCTTCCCAACCTCTCCGACAAACTGGCTTAGAGGGTAGAAAAAATTATGATCAAATCAAACCATGCCATGGTCCTTGGGCTCCCAGACCTTTGAGTTTTCTTTCCAACAAGTATATCTAAGATCAAGTAAAAGAAATGATCAAAAAAAAAACTTGTTGAGAAGATCACATCCATGTATGGCCTGACCCCGGATCGAATGGGGGGCTTCCTCGGAATCAGAACCCAGTTAATGAAATTCTAGAGGATGTGTTGCTGTACACCATCAGGCCTTTCTCACCTCTCCAACAAACTGGCTTAGATGTCGATATATCCTTGCTGTGAGCATGGAAAGGTTGAATTATATATAACTGCTGCCCCCTCGACTCCGACCACCAACGCACTTTCAATTCAACCGGACCCCAAGCCGACTCGCTTCATACTCGAAACTCCACCAACTCCGGAGATTCCTCTTTCCCCAGAATTATGTCTGCATTCCTGCCACCATTCCGGTTCCGCCTCAGACGATTTCATTTCCGGACTCATCTGATTTTAAATCCCTCTTCAATGCCGCCGCCTCGTACTCTTGTATTTAATCTGTAGTGCGTAGTGCCAGAACGAATTCCCTGCATGTTTGCGGGGTCTTCTGCTACATTTCCCCTTGTGGTGTTGAAGAAAGGGTTGGCATTCTAACAAGAAATCAGGGTCAAGTGCTGGGTCCTTGGTCGATAGATCAACACTGGTCTCCTACCTAAACAAAAAAAATGAGTACGCATGCACTCCCAAAAGTCGAAGTCGCGGATGATGCAAGAAAATAGAACGCACCCTGAATGGTGAATGGCCTGGCCCCGCTTCGAACGGGGAGCTTCATCAGATTGGAATACACATTTCATATAGTCAGATGATGTGTTGCAATACACCACCAGGCGTTCTCAAACCACATCTTCGACAGCCTAAACCAGAGCCTTGCTTCAGGCACAGAATGACAATAACCACCAGCTCCTGCAAACTGTCAGTGCTTCAACAAGCACCACAACACAATTTTTTTTAAAAGCTACATACACCGTGCCCTTGTTGTGAGCATGGAAAGAAATTATGGTCAAGCACTGGCTCCTTGATCAATAAAACTTGTCTCCTAAAACAGAAAAAAGTGAGTACAATGCCCTCAGAAAAAAAACTACTCAGTCATGGACGATGCAAGAAAACAGAACACAACCCGAATGCCGAATAGCCTGATCCGAATCGAACGGGGAGCTTCATCCAGAAGGGACACACTCTGCACATAGTCAGATGATGTGTTGCAATACACCACCAGGCGTTCTCAAACAACATCAGGGACTTTAACCACGACCGATCGCAGACAAATGCAACAAAAGACCCCAGCTGAAATAGTGCTGTCCATAAATACGATACGCCAAAATATATTTTGAATATATTCGAATACATACAGATACAATACGGCCCCAGGACGTCCACACGAATATGAATACGACTGAATATGAATACGATATGATATGAATATAATACGATACGGCCGTCGGCATATTCAAATATATTCAGTTACGGCCATCACCGTCAATCACGATCGGCCCAGCGGCAATCTTGGCGGCAATTGGGCGTACGACAAGCGGATCAAGCTGCTGCACAGCTGATACCACATCAGCAAACAACCAGACAGAAGCCAGAATTTCTTCCTTCACCTGCGGCGCATCAATGGCCGACTTCCCGGTGTCCGCATCTCTGTCAAGCGCCTCTTTTCAAGTCTAAAACATGCTCGGACATCCATGACTGCAGACACGGTGTCTGTGGATGTTGTTTGCAAGGAATGGTTGAAGTCGGGCCTTGTGGAGGGGGTAAACTACACTGACTATATCAGAATTCGTGAGGGGTAGAATATATTTGAATATATTCATATCATATTCATATTCAGTGGGTTGAATATGAATATGATACACTACAAATACGATACGGGCCCTCCGAGGTGAATATGATATGAATATGAATACGATACGCCATTTGCCGTATCGTATTCGTATTCGGCCAGCACTAAGCTGAAACACGCATTCAGCGTGCATGGGAAGGAGTATAATCGGGGTTGTAGGAGGGGATGAAGAGGAAAACTCGCCCCAATTGCAAGTTTCCTGTCGTTGATAATCCGCGTTGGTCACAAGTTCAGATAGTTGGACTACTCGACCGTCTCCCGCTCTTACCACTTTGCTCGCGTCGATGGGATCGATGCATTCGCCGCCCTGCTCGCTCCATGTTCGTGGCTCTCTACGTTCACTAGACTCGCAGTTTTCTCGGTCGGCGCTCAGCGTGGATCTATCGTAGCTGAGAGTCACGGATCTCGAAGAGTACGCAGTGCGGGATCAGCCGGATCCAGCCCTGGAATTAATCCCGTGACGGTAGTCCGACCTCTCGCACGGAAGAAGGGTGGCGTGGAGAGCTGGGATATGAATAGTGCCTGTCTGAATGCAGTAGTGGTAACACAGTCGCCCATGGTGACGCACCCATGCGCAGAGCGAGATGGGTCGCAACATCACGGTTGCTGTACAGGAATGAAAGGAAGAGTCTTGACTCCGAAGAGCCGACCATCGGAGCCAGAAAAAAAAACGGCAAAGCTGAGGTAGGTAGGTAGGTATATTCCGGCGCGGTCCCGTTAAGAAACAGCCGGTGTCCGTACTACACACATTACGTCAGATTGACACAGGAAAAAGTGCAATAGGAAGAAGAGGAGGTTCGAAGACAGGGCAATGAAACGGCCAACGCGTGTCTAGGCTCGATTCACGAATCGTGAAGAATCCTATTCGGGGGACGCACGAGTGAATATGAAGCAGCGGTATTTGATCAGTACGGCGGGCTGAGTCCGAGCGCCGCCGGGAAAACGACTCGAACCCAGTTCCAGGCGTTGAGAGCGGTTCTCGTTCAGGGGGTTGACGTCCGGTGGATGCTTTCCCCGGCGGCCAGTTTTCAGTATGGCGAGAATGTGACGATCGAGAACAGGTTAGACGAGTTGATCCATCATTTCAAATTAAGGGGGACCGGCCGTGTAATGCTACCTACCTACCTACCTACAAATGAAGTAGGAGAGCGTTGTGGCGCTTCAAGCGGTCGAGGTGCCTGAAGTGTACATAGTAGCAGTGTCGGCGCCGCCTCGTCGACAAAACTCAAGACTCGGCGGACTTCGAGGTAAGATTGAGCTCAGCGGCATTCGACGCGATTGGAGCGCTACGTAGCTATGAAACAGAATTCAAGTCCGGCGCCCCAATAATCGCCATTCAAGTCATGAGCGAGATGAGGCTATTGTACTGAGGAAGCGCTTGGGAAGCACGCCAACGCCGTCGCCGAGAACACAACCAGTCAAAGTTTTGAGCCTTGATGTAGCGCCATCCGAACCTAGCCGCTTGCTTTGCATTGGCTCTGCAGGACTACAATAATACCAGTGAGAGAGAAGAGACCGGCGTTTCGGCCCAATCAATCCGTCGGTGATGCGATTGGATCGGACAGTGTCTTTCCGGATCCTCCGCCGTCCTCCAAGTTTCTTTGCTCTCTGATTCTCTGAATTTGCTCTCTCAAATTTCGATCCTTCTCAATCCGGCAGCAATTGTCATCGAGTGGCATCGCCAACTTCGCCAACTCGCTCTAGCGTTAGGTACATCAAATTCTATCTATCCACATCGTCGCAAACTCAGGGCACCGTAACCCTGAGCGCTAAATACCGCGGGTCCAGTCTTGGCGGAGTCGCGGACTTCGCGGACCACGCGTAAGTAATCCTTATTAACAGGTGGCTGAATACATTCTTTCCCCGTTCGTTCTCAAAATTTGGTTACCTGGATCTGACCGTTGTGGGTACCGGTACGACCCGTCAGAATCGAACGTCTGACCCCACTCTTCACTGCCATTCAGAGAAACCGTTTCGGTCCCGAGTCCGCCCGACTTTGAAGTCCTTCTGATGATCATCACTCCACAGAAAAATTTACGTCGACCTACGACCTCCCTCGGGACGCGGAATTGGGCGAAACAAAATGCACTCCCCTATGTATCACAGCCCACATCGCCTATAGATTCCCTTCCCACGAATATGTCGCAGAAGACCCTCGAAGACGTTTCCATGACTTATTCACATACCCAAGATTCGGCAATCTATTACGGACGGTTTCTGTCCATCACCTGCCATACTTCCCGGACAGACTCAAGTGTGTACATATTCGCGTGATTTGAATTGGTACCCCAATTTTTGGCGGCGAACTCGTTACGCGAAATTGGGATATATACCGTATATGTCGTCTGAGCCACGTACATCCTGCCCTTGCCTCACCCGTCGAGATGTCCTCTCCTGACACTCCGAGTCCAATTCTCGGCGTAAATGTGGCAGAAGTGTACGTGCAGTAATTTCCCATGGACCTTGTAGAAATAATTATTTCACAGAGTCGGGCCTGTGGTAAGTTGGTGTCTGCCGATGCGGAACTACGACAAATGCAGAATTTTCAGTTTATAGGAAATATCCTCAACTGGATGTTCATGGGGACCCTCATCATGCAGCTGTGTCAGTTTTTCTCTCATGTCTCGAGCACGCGCATTGACTTTATTTACTAGACACATATTATCAGAACTTCCCAACAGACCGAACATTCATTAAAATTCTTGGTACTTCCGTTCTCTACCTTGTAATTTCTGCCGCGCGCTGATGAAGCTGTCCGCAGTATATGGCCTATTTCTTGTGGACGTCGCGCAGACCGTCATCTTGACACATCACGGATGGTTTTTCATCGTCGATTCGTGGGATAAAGCATCCAACTTCAACATTGTTCCGTGGTCCTCTACAATGATTCCGATCCTCTGCGGACTGGGTTAGTCTTCCAAATCTCCTTGCGTATCAAACCACCCACAAATTCCAGTTGCCGCAATTGTCCAAATTTTTTATTCATGGTGAAGTTCCTCTACACTTCCCTTCGTCCCCTAAATTCTGACGAAGTGTAGGCGAATCTGGCTGCTTTCCACAAATCCCTTCCTTCGGGGAATGGCG